TTCCTTTTAAAATAATGATCCTTCCCTTTCATGTTTCTTTTAAACATAGTAATTTCCTTTCATTTTCCCTTTAAAAAATCATGGTTTCCTTTAATTTTCCCTTTAAAATTGCTAATTTCCTTTCATTTTCCTTTTACAGATTATCATTTCCTTTCATTTTCCCTTTAAACATAATCATTTCCTTTCATTTTTCTTTTAAAAAAGTATAGTTTCCTTTCATTTTCACTAGAAAAATGCTCATTTCCTTTCATTTGATCGTTTCTATTCGTTTTCCTTTAGCTTCCTCTGGTGTGCCATCTTAGTGCACCTTTTGGAAAATAACTATTTCCTTTGTTTTCCTTTTATATAAAATAATGATCCTTCCCTTTCATGTTTCTTTTAAACATAGTAATTTCCTTTCATTTTCCTTTTAAAAGATTATGGTTTCCTTTAAGTTTCCCTTTAAATATGCTAATTTCCTTTCATTTTCCTTTTAACGATTATAATGTTCTTTCATTTTCCTTTTAAGCATGATCATTTCCTTTTGTTTTCCTTTTAAACTAATGATCATGTCTATTCGTTTTCCTTTAGCTTCCTCTGGTGTGCCATCTTAGTGCACCTATTGGGAAATAGTTATTTCCTTTGTTTTCCTGTTAAAATAATGATCCTTCCCTGTCATTTTTTTTAAAACAATAATAAGTTCTTTTCTTTTCATTTTCCTTTTAAAAAATTATGGTTTCCTTTAATTTTCCCTGTAAAAATGCTCATGTCCTTTCATTAATCTTTTAAAGATTATCATTTCCTTTCATTTTCCTTTTAAACAAATATTAATTTCCTTTCATTTTCCTCTTAAAAAAGTATAGTTTCCTTTCATTTTCACTGTAAAAATGCTCATTTCCTTTCATTTTCCTTTTAAAGATTATCAGTTCTTTTCATTTTCCTTTTAACCATGATCATTTCCTTTTGTTTTCCTTTTAAAATAATGATCATTTCTATTCGTTTTCCTTTAGCTTCCTCTGGTGTGCCATCTTAGTGCACCTATTGGGAAATAACAATGTCCGTTGTTTTCCTTTTAAAATAATGATCCTTCCCTTTCATGTTTCTTTTAAACATTGTAATGTCCTTTCATTTTCTTTTTAACAAATTATATTGTCCTTTAATTTTCCCTGTAAAAATGCTCATTTCCTTTAATTTTCCTTTGAATAATGATCATGTGTTTGCCACTCTGTATGCTTGCCGGTTTAGCTTAAAGATGCCACTGTTCACTCACTCTTGAGGCTGTTGTTGAGGTTGTGACCATGACTCTTGCCTATCCTTCCTTATGTTTTGCCTTTTCTTAGAGTCCTGTGGTGTTGTCCTGGAGTGACCCATGTGCCATCTTACACGTTGCAGGGTTAGTCCTCTAGGCTCTCCAGTTGATGAGGTCGTAAAATGACCTGTGCCATCATACTCTTTCCAGCCGGATGTGCCATCCATTCGGGACCCGGTATAGTAGATCTGTCTCTACTGTCTCTACCCCAACGTCTCAGGCGCTGCATGCCTTATTCATTTCGGACAAAAACCCATGTTTGATGGCTAACCCGCTTGCTTTTTCATCAGCATCTATACTCATCGGACTGAGTCACTTCCTGGTCCCATCCTCGCGGACTGAGGTCATGACGCTGTCCATCAGTCATGAGGACCTTGTAGATCCGGACGCGGTGCGGAGCGGTGCGGAAGGGGACGATCTGGCCGATCTGGTCCCTGGTGTCTTTCATTGGAAACGCTTCGTCACCTCCGCAATCCCGGCATGGTCGACAGATCACGAATGATTCACCAGAGCAGCGAATCCAATGTGACCATGTGCGGGTGCACACCGGCAAAAAAACATTTTTTCACACATGAATTCATGAATTCCTTTTGTGCTCTTATATATTACGTATTGGATATGTGGTATGCAAACCAATTATCAAAAAATTGCACTATATATATTACGTAGTTTGCCATGCACACTGGGGATGACTCCCAAAGCCCGACCAAGTGAAATATTACTTAACCATGACTCACTTTCTCAGAACAATTTTTCAGACGCCCTCCATCCCCGCTAAACCATACGAAACCAGGATCCTTGTGCTTCTTTCCATCTCGTTCTCCACATCTTTGGAAAAAAAAGAAACGCACTCGGTCGACCAAACCCGCGACACCCGAGATCTTTCCACCGATCTTCCTGGCAGATCCGCCCAACCCATCCGTCCTCCCGTCCTCACCCCCAGTGAATGACCCGGGGACAGGTCCGGCAGCGCGTGGCGCGCCAGGAGCTGGTGAACACCGCGGGGCCTGACTTAGCAGATCGAACCGAGTTGGTGCGGGTCCTCTCTTCCGGTCCAAGGGAGTCGTGGCCATCGGCGGCTTTCGCAGTGCGGTGGCAGCGCTGTGGTCCGAAAGACCTTCCATCGCATCCAAGTCCGGTAAAGAGGACTTGCTTGACTCACAGGAAAGAAGAGGCACGGACGGTTTCATTTCTGGTTCGGGGGTCATGACCTGGAGAAAAGCCCCTTCTGACGTCCATGTTGTGGGACAACTTGTCCAGAGTTCTTTGATTATCCCGATCCTTTCAATTGCAGGCACCTGCAATTTCAACGCTGGATGGGTCGACATACGTTGGTTTTTAGTTTTTGTCCTCCTGTCCCATCGGAATTCCGCCACCCCCCCCAAATGAATTGATTAGTAAGAGCATTTGAGTGATCCATGTCATGAGCATTTGCAGCTAGGGCACCAAGGGCACCGAGGCTACTTGGGCTAGATCCAATGGAGTCACCCGCGAGTGCCGGAAATGGCAATGGAAGTGAGTGACCGTCCCATGTTACACCAAACTGATCCAAAACAGATATGTGCTGTATATCATATTCTTATGGGTCTTTCTTAAAACCAAAAGCACCCAAGACATCTAGCCAGTCTTTTGTATACGGTTCACATCAGTTCCCGTGAAAACGGCTGTACAAGGCAGGCAGGCGAGAGGACCATCGCCTGCACCGCTCCGGTGGATCCTGCACCACTCAGGATGCGATCCTGCACCGCTCCATGAGAGCACATTTGGTGAAACAGCTCGGGCCTTGGAGCCCTGCCAGCTGTGCAGCTGAGGGATCGGTGGTGTCTCCCGAACGTCGGTGGTGAGAGACACCACCGGGGCAGCTGGGAAAGAACAGCTCCAATCTGAAAAAGACGTCCTTTTTTGGGGGGAACTCAATGGATTAGTAGCAAGGACGCTATTAGGTGGAGGCCATCGCCATTAGGTTGCAGGCCATCGCTACTGGAGCAAGAAGCTACATGGGTGGAGGCCATCGCTACTAGGGTGTGGATGATGGCCTCTTGGGCGAACGAAGGCCGTTTTGAAGGCATTTTTTGGACCCTGCCGCGTCCTCGACATGTGACCCTTTTCGGCTAAACGGATGGGAAGCACAGTTTGTCCGCATGGAGCCATGCATCCATTTGATTCCATTTGTACTACCAGTAAGGGATGCTGTTCGGACAACATGTTGTAGCTAAGAGACTCCCAATTTCATTGGCATTTGTTTGCAGTGGGGCTTTCTCACCAGTGTGGAATGGATCACACCCAGTTCCGCCCTTGGGCATCCGCGTGGCGAGACCGTGGCATCGCGCCGTGGGCCCTGAGGATCCCAGCCATCCAGCGATTGGCGGAGGAGAACTTCCAGAAGGTCTTTGAAGAAGCCCAGGAGGTCGGGATAGTGGATAGGTCTGGTTTGGGGATGGAAAGGGTAGAACTTGTACCGGGTACAACAAGTCAGATTCGGTTGGATTGACTGCCGTACTTTTTTGGGGACTGGGAATTTCAAGTAGGCACGGGTGCGCCGTGTTCATGTTTAAGGAGCGGAAGCAACCGAGCGGACTATTTAGGCCAACAAGAGAGTCCACCGATTCCCATGCGAGTCGGTTTGTCTTGTCGAAGCTAAACAAAGGCAAGAGAGTCTTGCAGCTCTCTCCCCTTCAACCCATCCATCTCATAGACCTAGTTCTCCCCATGGGCTGAGAGGGTGAGGAATGTGGTCTCAATGAGCAGGGCTGACTTGACAGAACTTGATTGGGTATAAACAAATGTAAACAGATTGATTAATTATATAGAGTTATATATATACATATGACATAAATGGACTATTTGTGACAATAGGCCTATGACCAAGCCATCATCCTCCACTGGGCCCTGGTCATGGATCTACCGATCTTGGGAACGCCCGAACGGCTCTGATTTCGGGCACATCGGTTCACCATCTGGAGCGGATCGACCTGCATCTTCCTGCGCTGGTTCGGGTGAAGTGGCAGATAGTTCACTGGTGATCATTCACTCAGACCGACCCAGACCATTGAGTTCAAGCTTTTAACATCTGCTCACATTTGCTCGATCCCTTGCAGATCCCTTGCGCCAGGTCACTTACAAAAAGTGGAACGTCGTCTTCCGTCAGCCCAACCGGCTTGTGCCTTGGGATTTCGGCCACGCACCAAAGAATGCAATACTGTTGCTGACTTGCCAAGCGACTAAGCTCTTGAAGAACTATGTACCTTGGGTTGGAGAAACTCAACGAGGAGCATAGAAACGGTTTACGCGTTGACCGGGGCAAATCCAGGATAATGTCCAGGATAAGCCACAGAACAAAGCCGCTCTCCTGGCTGAACCCTGTGGTTGTGTTCTATAGTGAAAGGTTCAGACAGCCCTCGGGTGAAGTTCATCTTACTTCTATGACGGTTTTCTGTGAAAAGGTTGAGGATTGAAGATGTTGGGACCAGTTACCTGTTGGAGTGTGCCAGCTGAGACGCAGGTCATTGCATCACCAAAAAGCTTGACCCAGCTTTTGAAAAAACAAGGTTCCCAAACTGCTTCCAAACTACTCCTCCTCATTCTCTTTCACAAGATTTTGAGCGGGCGGGGTGGGCCCCGGATTTGTTTGTCGCTCACATGTTATCACGTCGTGTTCCGTGCCAGGGGCGACGTCCTGCGATACGTGTGGTCTCCAAGGAGATGTGTGGATTCATGCGGGGGTGAAACTGAGTCAATTTACTAATTAATAGGTGTGCATTTTCCTAGGAAACAAAGTGAGGGACCAGACACAGTTGCAGTTTTGAGCCCCAACATGGGCGACTAGCAGTTCCCTGATTCCTTAAAGCCTTTGTTCCCAGCTTGCTGAGGTCTATGTCTTGGAGACCGGGAAGCTCTCCGAGTATGAAGGAGAGTTGGAAGAATTGGTGAAAACCGACGGGAAGGACGGGCCGAACAGAACTTCAGAACACTCCAGAGGTTGGATCCTTCATCTCCTCAAAGATATCAAACGCACCGAATCAAACGTGTTCTCTTTGAACCCAAGGAACCGATTCTTGCCTGTGCCTGGTCTGTGGCTAATACAGCCGCTACTTCCCTACACCCGACCTCTCTCTCACAAGAGAATCCGCCGAGCTCCGCTCCCACCGTCCAAAAAAGAGGTCGCCTTCAAGGAGGGGAAGTGGAACGTGATCCAAGACAAGTGGCGCTGGCGATTTGGTCGGAAGTCTATCGTGTTGCGATCGACGCTTGGCAAAAAAGGATCATTCTCCCGGTACAATACAAGATGGTTGAGGAAGTTGAGGGAATCCTTCTTGAAGTTCATTTATTCTGAGAGCCGTGTGGCCAGCATGGCTAGAATGGGTTGGCGTACGAGCCCCTGGTAATAGAGTTATTATGTGCGATTCTGTGACTGTGCTCTTTTCTAAGTTCGACATCACTAGGATCGACTGGTGGTGCTTCGCGGCTTATCTTCATGGCTGAAGGACTCACAGGTTACACCCTGCGATGTGGGACGGGTGGCAAAAAACAGGGCAGGTGTTGCCAGTGGTGTTCCCCTCGGCTACACAGTGACCTGGGTGTCATCAAACTGTTGCCAGGCAGAAATCATCGGAATATGTCTGGGAGCCTGGGAAGATTTGCTGCCGGACTGGACGAATGACTGAAAAAAGAGCTTTCCCCCAAGCTGTGGTTGTTGCTCGACACACCTAGTGTCAATCTTCCTGTGATGTCAGAATCCGCCCATGAATCGCAGAAAGGGAGAAGCCTATAGAAGCTCTCTTTCGACATGCAAAACGTTGTTTGGGCCTACCTGTTGACCTGAACTAGTCAATTGAGCTCAAGGCCAGGAACTTCTATGACCCATCCCAGTCATGTGTTCTCAGGCTCAATAATCTGGCTGGGCCAAGCGTCCCAGGAAGAAGCCTCCCAAGGAAACCATTTGCTCAAGCAGCGGATGCCGCAGGGCGCGACCGCCCTTCGCAGCGAGGCCGCCATTCGACCCGCCCCCCATTCGACTCCAAAACGGATGTTCTTGGCTCGGTGTTTGCTGCGACGCACTGAGGTCTATAACCTCAAGTCAGGGCAACTTGCCATCATCGATGCATGGCAAGATGCGGTGACTGGCTGGGCGGCGGCTCTGGGTTGGGGGGATTGCATACAGCTTCATTTCGGAACATGGTGACTCACAAAAAGGAGACCGCGGCAGGTTACAGATGTTTACCGTATTTAATCCTATTTTGCTGTAACCGTTTGTCTAGTCTATGTACTTCATGGATCTTCGGCAGTTTAGCTCGGTTGTGCCGGTGTGGGTGGATGCATTGGAGAGTGGGAGGTGTTTGAATCAATGCTGTAAAGGTGTGAAGCTTGGATTGGATAGGAAGAGCCATATTCTTAGCGAAAGACCACTAACCATTGGACTGTCATCCACTTGTCAACCAGAGTCTCACCATGAACCAGATCCATCCAGATCCCATCCATGGCTGGTCAATGGCTGGTTCTTTTTCTTTTTCTTTCATACCTTCTCCCAACCAGTCCATCCGTCGTATCCGTCGTTCATCGTCGTTCCAAGGACGAGAGGTTGGGCTCCAAAGAGCCCTTCGATGGCAAGGCGTGGACCTGTCCGTTGTTCGATGTGACACTGGGAGAGGGCTCAGCCTGGCCCTGTTTGGGTCAGGTCATCTACTTTCCAACACCCTGGGGCTGCTACTAACAAGGGCATCGCTACGACCGGAGCAAGGACGCTACGAACGTAGCTCCTGGCACTACTGCTATTAGTAAGGTAAACTGAGAGACCCAGACCCACCTGAAGAGTGCTGTTTGGAGAGGTATCATCTCATGGGCTTTCCGTTTGGAGGTGTGTCTTGGTGTGTGCTTGGAGTTCAGCTGGGAGCTGACCTTCAAAAGACTTCGATGTAATTCGATATATAATGATATATGATATATATATATAGAGGATTTGGAAGACTGGGAAGAGAAAGAAGAGCTCCCCACCATTTGTGGCATAGATTTAGCTTCGGAATCTGTGGAGCATGAACTACAGGTTTTCGGAGGTTGCCGCCACTTCTAGAACTGGAGCCACCCCAGTTGTCAGCTGCAAACGGTTTTCTCCGCCTTTGTAAAACAATCCGGAACAGCTTGAACACTTGTGATCATAATAGGTGTCCATGGCTGACGGCATTTTGGACCAGGACCCGAGCATGTGAGGGCTGAGTCCAGACCCTGTACTTTATATGGATTGGATGGGTTGCATTTTTCGGGGCGTTGTTACAGGAAGTCGGGTCAAAAGGTGTCGCTTTCACCTGACAGCCTGAAATGTCTAGTTCGCCGGATGATGTGTCAAAACCTGTGATCCTTCGAATGAACGTAGTGTATTGACGTGTTGGTAGGGCAAATAGAAGAAAGCCTCGTGCTTTTTCTTTCAACACATCTTGACTCTTTAGAGTCATTGTCGGTCAGGGACAAGAGACTGAAACAGACTGAGGGGTGATGTTGCCAGGCGAGCAGCGACCTTGATGTGAACTGTGCCTTTGCTGATATGCCCAAACATTAAGTTGGCAGTCGTTTCTAATCCCCGAGTTGTCCTGGTTGATCAAGAGAAGCTGACCGACATCTTCAACTAGGTGGCGCCAAACAGATTTAAAAGCAATATTGTCTTAAACTCCTTTCCAAAACAATGTGGCGGCCTCGAGGGATCAGTCTGTTGGAATGAGTTGGAAGGGACCATCCATTTATGTGAAGATATTGTTGGATTGAGCAGAGGTGCTGGGGAAGCCGAGCATGCCTGATCCACAAACATTCCTTGATCATCACTTGTGCAGCACAGTTCTTGTGAATTGTCAGGCAGAGAACGTTTTATGCTGCTGCCCAAAGGGGAGGGTCACCCGACGATTCCACCCCAAACCGATTCCAATCCATCCCGTGACAGAATACTGGGTGTTCTTCATGTTGCTAAAAGGGCAAATAGAAGAAATAACGATCCTCGGACCTCCATGAAAGCTATGAAAGCTACAGTGAAGATATGTGAAGTTACCAAGGTATTACCAAGTTCTTTCTTTTTAGGAGCCAGGATGAGCCAGGTCTATTGTATGCCTCGTTGTTTATATATATATACACATATTTATATATGTATCAAACACGTACATATACACATATATATAAGACAAGATATCTATATATATATACATATAGGTCCGGTGAGGTTTTATACACATACTCATATTATATATTGCTATGGATAAATACACAGATTCCTGTCACCCGGGGCCCGGGCGTGACACGACACGCCCCAGGCCCGGAGCATGTCGCTCCGGGGGACTACTTTGGTGCAGAGCCGGGGGGCCCGCGGAGACGGGTCGGGCACCGGGTGACGGAGGGGCCCACCATGGCGAGATGAGAACGCATTGAGTCAGAACCTCCGTGGATGTTCTATTCATGTCTATTGTTTTTGTTTTTGTGTTTCACGTTTGTTTGTTTTTTTCTCTGGGTGCCACCGAACAAACGATGCTCCGATGGTCGATGCAGAAGATGTGTGGAGTTAAAGGTCAGGCGATGGAAGTGGCGTCTTTCCATTTTGGAGATGGGAACATAGAGAAAATGTTGTGAGCCCTGCTCCTCTGACTGCAAGGGTTCTGCAAGGATCATTGATTGTTTGAAGCCAGTAGGGCAGCCAACGTTGAGATGCTCGATGCTTCCTGCAGGTCTCTGCAGGACATTGTAATACACATCTTCCTGATGATGCAAGTCCCGCTCTCTCGGTGGTTGGCTTGAAGTCAGCAACATCAACCGTTTCACTCCAAACCAGGTGCAACGTGGAGCTGTCTGAATACATCAAGAAACCCTCGACTCATTGTTGGGTCAGGACTTCCTGTAAAGGCTGGAAGTTTGGTACCCTGAAATCAAAGTTGATATAAGATGATCCACTGGTGCCTGATAGACCATGGTAGACCAGACCATGGTAGACCATGCATCTAAGGGTGCCTGATATGCTGATACCATGGTAGACCAGAAATGCCGGTTAAGAGCAACATCTACTGAGTCTATTCTGGTCAGTCTACCGATGGTCTCAGGTGTTTATCGAGCAAGAGCGCCCGAGCAGCCTACACCTTGGTGGTCTCGAGCTTATTCAACTTATTCCTCCAGCAAAACGCAGGGAAAGGAAAGCATATAAGGTTTGGCTTTGAGCTCACAGCTCACTGAGAAAGAAAGTCGTTTGGCCGAACAGTGAATGTGTTCCACATGTGCTTCATCAGAACCTGCTACTTGTTCATTCTCAAAACATCAGCTACCCACAAAGGACGGTTGTTTCTCCTAAGACTGGCTCACCTTGGATGTGGCTGCTGTTTTGAAGAGCTGATGTAACTACAGTATGCATCTGATGAAAGTCATGAGCTTTTTGCCCAAGGCCCTCACAGATGTGACCTTGCTCCAGTTTCCACCAAGCTCCATCTGGCCGGGACTCCATGACACTCCATGACACAGCCCAGCGAATCCTAGGCAGAGGGAGACCCCTTAGGAATGGAGCAACTGGTGTCTCAACAGCCCCGCAAAATGGTGAGTTTTGCGGATGCTAGGAGTCCCACAGCACATGTCATGTCCTCCTGACAAGTCTATAGCGTCTAGAAGCTAGGTCTACAGCAAGCTTCCCAAAAAAGTCGGGGTGTATTTGGGTGCGGCACAGGCCAGGTGTGCTGCTTCTCCGACACTTTCCCAAATGCATCGTACGTTACACACATTGACAGGGAAACTTACTATCTTGGAGTCATCAACTCACTGCGTGAAACTTGGGCAAGAGAGTGGTTTTCTATCACTTGGAGTCATACCATCTCATATAACACACTCAGAGCTCCACAAGGGAGGTCACCAGGCTCAAGACATAGCCTTGTTTGTTCAGGCCTTTGTACCGTCTCATATCAATTCATATCATAGCATCCCTGCAGACCCAGCCAGGGCGGTCCAAGAGGAGCAGCGGCAGTTCCTGTCGAGGAGAACGGCGGAACCGAGACCGGTGACCCGTTGTTGTGGCGGAGACCGGTGCTCAGCATGCTCAGTTGGATCGGACAACCAAAGCAAATATACGGTTTTGGTACAAATTCGAGAGCTGAAGTCCTAAGGAAGATGCGCTCCAGCAGTTGTTGAAACAGCTGTTTGGCTGGGTTACACGGTTACCCCATCCAGTTGTATTTACACCCGCCCCCAAGCCAACATAGCCCTGAGCAGATTGGTGGCAATGTGCTCGAAGGGACGTGCGAATAGTACAAGTTAGCTTGGAAAGAAATACCGCACAACAGCGATCTGCCTCTGATTGAGCTACTTGGCTTTGAAGATGATTGAAGCATATTGGATTGAAGAAGCAGCTGTTCAGAAGATATGCAAACGCCATGCGAGCGGCCTGCGACTGAGAGGATCCAGCTCTTTTCCGAGGATGTCCTCAGCAAGGCCCTCCGGCCACGTGGGACAAGACAGCACGGGGTTCAGTGCTATGGATCCACTGACAATGAGATCAATGAGCCATGTGAAAAGAAGCACATACCCCAGACACCGTCGAATGGGACTGGAATATACAGTCCATGCATTGAGCTCTTTCAATCACCCTAATGAAGGTCAATATGTCATACATTGGAGTGCTGTAACAAGTGTGAAACCTCTCGTTGTTGACCACTTGATGTCTCTGTGCCCCCCTCATTCTTCTGGATTGGATCATCATTTCATATGGGGTTGATCCGTTGGCTTGGTATATGTTCCCTCCACCGGAGTATATAGAGTCTTTCAAACCAGGATGAGCAGTTCATGCTCGTGAGCAAGCTCAAGCATCTTGGAATGCACATGCGCGGTTTGTCTGCCAAAACTGGGGAGATGAAGAAGCTGATTCATGTTTGTATCTCTCCAGCTCTTGCAGAGCGACCCCCCTCTCTCAGAAAAATTATGATGCCTGCATTTCTTATGCAGGTCAGAGTCTTCATCTGCAGTAGTCTTTTTGCATTGAGATGGGCCACTCCCCCCTTTTGAGAAAGAGCAACAAACCTCCTTCAATTCTCGAGATGCTCGTTTTCTCCAGATGGAAGCTTCTTCAGAAGGTCTCGGGTGTTCCTGCAGGTGATAGACCAAGCACAAATAGTCCAAAACTAATTACATGGTGTTCCTATGAATATGAGGATATTCCGGACGTCTCCTGTCGATCAACGGCAGAATTTCCTAGGCCATGGAACTTCTCTGCAGGAAGGTATATCATTAAGGAAGGAGAGGCGCCGCCTGGCCGGGGGCTCTTTTTCGGGGCTGAAAGGGGTCGTACTGGCCATCTCACTCGGGTCGCACGTACTGTCGTGTCAGTTGGATGTGCCATCTACAGCCAACTGCTGCGGTTTGAAGCAGAACTTGGGTGGGCTGGGACATACTTTTGTGGGTCCATCCCTACTTGGCAAAGATTGTATAAGATTGTGCATAATTGAGCGATTGTTTGGGGAATAGGTTAAACCAGGGAACAGATAGAGCAAGCAAATCTGTGACAAGCAATTTTCAGGGTCATGAGTCATGTTCTCGATGGTTATCGGAATTCCTTGCCAGATTGGTGACATGCTCTTCATCATCGAGAAAGGTGTTTGCGATGCCTGCAAGTATCTCAATGATCAAGAGGCCGGACAGATCTTGTGGACCAAAAACCGGTCTTGAGGTGCTTTTCTGATGGTGCCTCACCTAAGGTAGATCAGTGGACCGATCTTCTTAAGAATCCTCTTGAGGTTCCGTTGATACTGTAGGGAGAGGCTTTGAGGGAGCATCTTGGATCGTTGCAGGGTAGCAATGACTCTGCAACGACCATCGACTTTGGATGGAGTTTCACCGTGTTTCACCACTGGGCAGGTAAGGTAGGTGGTTTCCTTTAGTGGAAACCTCCGCCATGAAGCGACACACCATGGGTAGGCCCTTTCCTCCTCGATGTGTCGCTTCATCGTCTCGGGACGGTCGACTCGGCGTGTGTTTTCCCCGGTCTCGGCCACTCGGCTGGGACCGCAGCGGTTTCCGCTGTGGGCAGGGATGGAACCCAGGAATGGCATGGTATCCACCAAGATGCGGAAGATCAGGACATCCACCAAAGGTTGCAAGCTGTGGATGGACCAGACAAAGGTAGGCTGGTAAGCTGGCAAGCTCTAGTTAGTTCATGTTAGTTCTGTGTTTGGCAAGAAGTCAGAAGAGCTTTCAGGAGAGAATTCAGAGAAATTCTGAGTGTGTCTCCATGTGCTAGTTCTCCATGTGCTAGTTTCCCTTGAGCCTAGGGGTTGGGAATTGGTGTTGCATCGCCATGTATTTTCCACCTTTGTGCCGGGGGGTGTTGGAACTCTGTTTGAAGATCCGTTGGCCTCTCCAGGTCGTTCTGACTCAGCTGAAGAAGGGCGCCTTCTTCGGAGAGCTGGCAGTGATGTTTGTGATCCTGGCGAGCTTCTTGGTTGGGTGGCCAGACCAGGATGACCAGGATGACCAGGTTAGGAGGACCAACGAAAAGCTCTGAGATGTGCTTGGCATGCAGATGTCCCAAATGCACGATATAATTTGACTTGCAAAAGATTCTCGATGATTTCAGACTTGTTGTGCTTCCAGGGTCAGATCAAAATAACCGATTCCCAAAGACACAGTCCAAGCCGTCCAAGCCTCACCTTCAAAGTACTTACCAAGAAGATGAAGAAACACATCGACTGTAGTGATTGGTAGCTTCTCATGGACTTAATCGTCAGAGGTTGATTGATGGGCTGAGACGAAGCCTAAGCCTAGTGCAGGTGATCAACCAGATCTAGCTCTGAACACGAATGAACTAGCTCAGACTACCAACCTGAACCCACGGCTGCCCGCAGAAAAGGCTCGGCAGCCGGAGAAGGAACTCGACAGAAGAAAGCAAAGCCACACAAAACCCTCCGCAACCCGTTGCTTTACTTGTTGTCAACTCGATTCTTTCTAAATGTGTTGCCATGAAGGATTTAAGTGAAGTGTCTGACTTTTGTTCATCGTGATATGTCACCCCCTTGGAGTAGCGTCACAAGTCGCTGGATGAATCACGCTCCTAATGTTGTGTGTGTGTTTTTCTTGCAGTTGATGTTGACTTCTTCAAGCTTCAAGGTCTGAGAACATATCAGTTGATCAATGGCCAAAGTAGACATTCTTGGATTGGCCCTGGCCTGGGCCCTAGGGAGGGCACTGCAATCAGTTGACTGGCCAGGACATGCCGCGCACCGCCTCCGTGCGGGCAGCCACAGCGGTGACGGCTATGTCACTGACGCGGGAGGCGGGGTGAGGCATCCATAGAAGTGAGGGATGGGTTTTGTGGATCAACACTGAGATGGTGTACTTTTATCATCATAATCTGCAATGGGATTTGTTGAAACCGATCGATTTGATTGGTACGACTTGATGAATTAGACACATTGTGCTTATGATAAAGTGTGGAAGCATAGACCCCAACAGAGGAAGCCCACTAATAACCTGGGCATTTTTATTGATGGCAATGGGTGATGCGAGTCTTACCATTTTAATCATTTATAGTCGCATGCTGCATGAACTTGATTTCTGTACGTCATTGAGAGTAATCCCTATTGAAGGATTTCTATAACTACCTCATTGATCCTCATTGTAGGAGTGTTTTCATCAAGCTGATTCTTGGAAAGACTGTCAATCTCTTCAAGCAGAGTTTTTCGTATTGCGTTGCCACTCCCAAGCTAGGCAACGGCTGGGAGGTATCATTATGCAAGAACCTCATTCATGTTTCCGGAGGCTTGACGGTCTGGCTTTGTTTGGGAATTGTTGGTCAATTTCAGTTTCACCGGCCAGTCTCAACAGGACATCACCAGCGTCATCGGCGAAGACAAGATCTCGAAGATGACGTTTAGCCGCATTGAGGTTGTGAAGTACATTCATTAATGATTGATTACATAAAGATGATTAAAGACCAAATTCCGATCCACTTGGCAGATAGGGACTCATCCATATGGAATCCATACCTGTCATCAGCCGCCCCCCAGGCAGATCTTGGCAAAAGCCCAGGCACCTACCGACCAACGGCTGGCGGATAAGTGGATTATAGTATTAAACAAATGTCGATTTGCACAGACCTGGACAATGGAAAGGGTGGATTGGAGGTGAGTTGTTTCTCGGAGGTTTCGATGACAGCAGACGTGAGGGCTTGCCATCTTTGGAAGATCAAACCGAAACAACAGGACGGAGAAACTATGGCCGTTCCGCCCAACTACTGGGGCATAACAGGGCGAAGTCGTCTCTTTGGGGGGATAAAGGAGAGTGCAGGCTGGAAAGCGATGCAGGAAAGCTCCGACTGCACAGAACTTGGGTCAAACATCGGATGTCACACCAACCAACTACATGAACTACTGTCAGTGAGAAATGATGAAAATTCCTCGAAGAGTCATGGCCGTAGGTCGCCATGGCCTTTGTACATGATTGCTCAGTCCACATATTTGGACAGGAGAAACATCTTCGACACCGAGAGTGACCCAAGAAAATGGCCTCCCCGACCGCCAACGGACCGAGAATGCCGAAATCTCTTGCCCCTCGCCGGCCTCGTCTTCATTCTCGGGTCCGCTAGGTCTTCGGGAGCATTCCCATCTTGGCTCGTCTTTCTGCCAGCGCCAAGAACACCATCGCAAGGAGGTGGAGAATGGGCTGACAAGAGGGGTCCGACCGTCCTCGTTTTCGGGGTGAGCTTCGGGGGTTGGTCAGATCAGCCCACTCCACCGGACAAAGGACTGAAGAAGGACGCCATGCAAAACGAAAAAGGTGAAGCCTGGGAAGATGTTTGTTTGCAGAAGGTTGATACTGTTAGGCTGAAGGTAGTGTTAGCTTGTTTGTCGACCTTTTGTTTGTAGATTCTTGTGTTTGTAGGCAGAAGATTGACACTAACACTGGGTATCGCCTGGATCACCCAGACAACATACACGACATGTCTTTGTCTTGGGTAGAATGTTTGTGGTAAAGAGGTCTTAGACCAAACAATTTGCACTTTTTCAGCACGTAAAGCGGTTTGAAGTCCTTCTTGGTACTTCTTCCAAATTGCTTCTTCATGAACCATACCCAAGAGCCATACTGCCCATGGCCCACGGAGGCTGCAGCCGAAGACCTTCCGTCAGGGTGACGTCATCATTGACCAAGCGCAGCCAGCGAGCAGGCCAACTCAGAGAGCCCCACACATGTTAAAGCGGTCGATTTGGGCATGTCTGCTTAAAGATATTTAAACCGTATTTGACCAAAACATGTTTTTTCAGCTGTCCGAGCCCATGATGGGAAAAGGATATGTGACTGGATATGTTTGTTCACATGTTGGATAGGGTTGGATATGTTGGTCTGGAAAGATTTGCTGCATATGTTCCACTGAAAAGATGGGTTTCAGACGATATGCCTGGCATCTCCATCAGGTACTGTTCGCATGTGGCCTTGGTGTTGGATGTTTGCAGGCTCTACATCATCGAGTCTGGATCCGTGGTGGTCAAGTGCGGAAGCGATGAAAAGGTGCCGTTTTGGGATCATCTCTTCCAGACGTGCGATCAGACCGCGATCAGACCGCTGAGAAGACGTGGGATGTGGATGACGTGCTGTATTCTGCCGGTGAATGGTACCAGATGCATGGAGACTAATGAGGTATTTGTTGAACAATGGCCTTTGGGTTCCTCTTGCCCAGCTTCCGCTGCCAGGGAGTCGGGGAGGGAGTCGACTTACTCCTCAAGGTGTTCTGTTGACTTGAGGAGTCTCAACCAATATGGACCAAGACCCTTCAAGAAATCAACATGAACCCAGGCCCTTGGCTGAGGGCTTCCTCATCTTCCAAACAAGAAATCCCAACCAATTCCTTCGTTGAGACACACATGGCCTCCGCTCGGCTCCAGGGGCAGCAGGTCTTGGCAGGGACCTCCTTCGGAATGTCCGGGGCCCTGGGAAGCGGCGCGGACGTGACCGATGTGAGGGTGGATTCGTTTGGATCCGTGTTTAGTAGAGACAGGTACAATCAACTGGAGGTGGTCTGGTTTGGGTATTGATTGAACAGATGCGTTTGAGAGATGGTTTTTGTGCAACAAGTGTAGCAAAAGCACTGCTTGTTGCAGTGAACTTTGCTTCAAATACCTCCAAAATCTAGGTGTTGAGCCACATTTTTACGGGACTTGTTTAGAGCATTGCAGCACGCATGCCAAGGTGTTAGGCTTTTATGAGGCTACCAGGCCCAGAGAGATTTTGAGCGGATACCAACGAAAAAGAAGCCAAGAACCAAAACATAGGAACCCCACAAATTAAAGCACAAAAACATCGGTTCAGACACAATACATGGGGCAACCACTGGGTTGGGTTAGTTGTATCTCAAACATATCTTTTGTATAGGTTTAGGTGTTTGTATTTGGTGTTTAGCTTTTTGCTTTAGCACCTTTTTGGCGATTTCGCTTTCAAGCTCTCCATTTGCATTTTTTTCTACAGGTCTCTCGCAACAGAAACTGAGAAGAATACATGTGGGCCAAATTTAAGCAGAGGCTGTCCTTCTTCCTTTGTTTGTTGACTGTTGGTAAGCTGTTGTGTCTTTTATCGAGCTCTTTAATTTCTGAAACAATTGATTTGCAATATCATATGTTTTGTTCATTTAACTCTTCTCCCCTCAACATTCTTCCTTGCAAGCTGTTCCCAGTCTCAATAGGCTTCTTCTATTGCTTCAGTAGGTTATATGTTTCTTGGTTCGCTTTTTCTTCGCTCTCAAATGTGATAAAATTGAGCACCACAAGCTTTTTCCCCGTACCTTTTTGTCATTGTCATGTCTTGCATAGATTTTGAGATCCGCGCCAAGACTAGCCGATGGGTACACAACGGAAGAATCCCAAACCTTGACTTCGATGCAGTTTGCTATGCCGATGACACAATTCTTTTCTCGACCGACAAGACTTGTAGGGCCTTGAACGAACTACTGAAGTTGACTCAGAGCATTTCAGGTAAATATGGATTGCGGTTAAACAAGGACAAATGCGTGGCGATTCAAATGAACAACGAAGGCTGGGTACACTTTGAACACAACGAGCCGCTCCCAAAAAATCTTGAAGCAACTTATTTAGGAAATGAAATCAATAAAGAAGCTAACATAAAACATGAAACCCTCAACAAAACGCAAGAAGTACGGAACACAGTTTAAACTCTTGTCGTACTGGAAGGCAACAAATGCAACTGCAAATGTGAAGTGGCAATTAATCATCGTTGACGCTGTAATCCGATCTAAATTGTTGTACGGCCTTGAAACTGTTCATTTGACTGAGGCTTTGCTAAAAAAGATAGACACCTTCCAAATGCGGTGTTGAGGAAAATTCTCAACATTCCATTGACTTTCATCGACAGAAACAAACTCCAACAGAGTAGTGCTTGAAAAGTGTACAGAATTACTTTATCCAAATCAAGGCGACCAACGGAAGTTTAAACTGTTCAGCCAGTCTTATCACGACAGAAAAACATAGAAAAACCACACTTCTAGGGCATGTGTTGAGAGCTGGCGATGATGACCCCTTACGTCAAGTTTCATTCCAATAAGGTACTGCTCTTAGAGTACAATACGGCAAAAAAAGAGTCGTTCGCCCTAGGCAACACTGGCTGCATTATGCCAAAAAACACACGTTCGAACATATCCTTGGTGGCTACGAGTATGAAGAAATGGTTGTTGAAGATGCACGCATCTATAATGCAGCCATAAATCGAACATTTTAAGCTGAAGCTGCACCACGGACCTGCGGCTACGCCCACGGTCTGCATGACCATGACAGCTTTCATTGCAGGGTATGGCTGGGAAAAAACAAGGAAAGCTGCTTCAATCTTCAGAAGGGTCTTCTTACTTAGTCAAGTTGTGCTGTTTTGTTTTCCGTTTCTTTTATGAAAGATTGTCTTCTCAAGACAATAAGATCCAAATAACGGAAGAAGTTATATACTAAAGAAGGGCAGGTAATGGGCTAGACCAGGCGCAAGAGGGTTGATTAACTAGGCAACAAGCTACTTCTTCTTGTTTCCCGTCTCAGTAGGACTTTCTATTGCTTGAAGTTATATATGTCTTACTCAATCTGTTTTACACTCTCAAACACATTCTAAAATTGGACGCCAAACGGATAGCTGTGTCAATCTTCTCATAAAATGTAAAATCTATTGCAGCAATAGAACAGCCTGTTGAGATCAAGGCGAAGCTGCTAATGGGAGAGTGTTGAAGCTCGAGTTTGCATATCTAACATGAGTCGCTCAAAATGAGCACATGGTGATGGGAGACTGAAAATGTTCTTGAGACTGTGTTCAGCTTTGATAGATGGTGAGAACAAATGAATACAGATTGGCATGACGAACTGGCATTTATTGCCATTGGTATTGCACATTGATATTGGGCAGAGAAAGATCCGTGTTTCGCCTAGGTTTCAGAGCAGTTGTTTGAAATTTCACGTGGTATTTATAGTGTTTTTGAAATGCTTTAGGATAGGGTGCCTTCTTCCCGGCATCGATCTCTAGCTCTTTTCCAGTACATTCCTCAAATCAATTGGGAGCTAGGCATAGAGGTCACCTGTGATCAGCATCCGTTTGGCCACCGTCAGTTGGACCCGTTCCATCGGTCCAGAGCGTGCGATTCGGGCGCAGCTTGTCGCAGCTGGTCCAGCGGTTGACCATGCTGGACTAAGGCATGGGCTGCTCTACGAAGACCCTTATGTTCTTGAGGCACCAACTTGGCGGATTGAGACACTCGCAGATGACGATGGAGCATCCAAGAAGAGCATCCGTTTTGTCAGCAATGACCCGCTTGCACTGCATTTCTTTGTTGCAAAAATTCCCAGCACGAAAACCTTCTCAGCCTCGGGAGCATGGTAGAAGTGCTATGACTTTTGCAATTTCGGTTATGCCTTGCAGTGTTTTTGCGTCGTCCCCATGTCCGTGACGCTGGGCAGGTGACCGCCTATTCGGACCAGGCGCTGCACCGGTTGGACCGGGCCGGGGTGGGAACCGATCGATCCGAAGGATGAGGTCTTTAAGGAATCTCAAGTCCATGGCTATAAGTCTCAATCGATTCATAAGCTTGAGCTGTTTAGAGCCTTCGCCTTTCCAAAACCACTCAAGAAGATGCTTGGCTGGGACAAGGGATGGAGTCGATGGTACTTTGCCATCTTGGAGTAGGTTTCAATCATTGTTCAGGTCCTTTTTCCAACGACCTGCCAGATCTCAACCGCCCAAAATCGTCTTTGACATTTTTCCACCGCAGCGCGTGGCTCCCGACCATCAATGGAAAGCCGAGCATGGTGGCTCGGAAGATTGTCGGTTCCCACGTCGGAGGTGAAGACACTCTCCTGCACACTGCCGGACAGGGATGCGTTGTCGTAGCTGCGGTTCGCGTCCGAAAGATGTGTCATGGCTGAACACAGGTGCAGGCTGAAACTCCCAGCCTGGCCCAAAGGTAGCAAGGGAAAAGATGAGATCACCCAAGGTGTTACAAAGGGTTCCTGATGTCAAGACAGATCTTTCTATAGTCTATGAAACTTGGCCTTTTCATTTACACCCTAATTTGGCATTGAATTGAGCTGGACTGAGCTTGTTTTGGGCTCGCAGCAACCAAAATGTCCAAAATGTGCATAGGACTTCACACAGGGGCCGTGCCGTGGCCATGGGTGGCCACGTGCAAGTTTGACATGTTTGGAGGGAGCCAAGATCACAAGATCACATGTTCAAGAAAACCAACACGACCCTTTACAGTAAGTGACTTGAAGATAAGATCACGCATAAGAATGGCTGGAACTGGCAAGCCAGGACATTCTGGCAGCTGCTGGAACTGGCGAGCAGGAAGCCATGGAGAGGCACAACCCTGAGCTGGATGCATTGAATGAACAGCGGCCAGTCTGTCTGCACTTGGCAGTGCATCAAATCCTTTGGAATATGGATCACCATGGGGATCCGAGAAGACCAAGTCGATGTGGCCAAGAAAAAACTCCGTTCGTAGCGTTAGTAAGGCCAGGAGCCCCGTTCGTAGCGTCCGATCGCTCCGTTCGTAGCGATGCCCTTTGCTCCTAGTAGCGTCCTCTACCCCCCTCAGATGCGGGTGCCAATCCCCAATTCAAGAAGATTTGAGCCATAGACGCCTAGAGATTCAAGTATCCTGTTGTTCAGTGACATCCTGTAACACATCGCTTTGAGTTGAGTTCACTTGATTGTGCAGAGGAGTCAGCATCAGAGATTTTGGTTGCAGGAATGGTTTTTCGCACCTGGCCCATTGATAGAGTTCTTAGGATACTGCGCAGAGACCCGGGCATGGGAAATGGAGAGTAGTGTGGGAAGTTCTTGTCAAGTGGGTGGTGCTTGAAAGCCCCAAAAGCTTCCGTTTGATTTTGTGGCGAGACGCCGCTTGTGGGTGAGCTTGGTCACGCAAAGCTGCGGTTTGTTTTTGAAACGCATGTGATGTTTGTGTGACACTGTATCAGAGTTTGTGGATCACTGGATCTTGTCCTTTGAGATGTTTGGCATCAAGAATGACCCAAACATCGCTTTCAAGTACCCAAAAGATGCCCAAAGGGCTTCAAGTCTTGCTACTCGGCACCCAGGCAGATGCACAATGCCTTGAACATGTGGCTGCTGAAGAGTGTGCCTTGGTTTGTATCGCAGAAACGAACCTCTTCCCCAGACTCGCGCTGGCAAGAGGGTAGCAAGGTTTTAGATGCTTTTTCTCTTCCTATTTGGGATGATTGAATTGATTGAGTACACTTGGCAAACTAGACAACTGTGCAACTGGACAAATTGAATTGATGAGTGTTCATGGTCCCTGGAAGATTGCATGCTGCGTCGTCCTAATTACAGATTCCCACGAGGACATACCCATAGATGTTATGGGAGCGAAGCGCATGTTGGCAGCGCCAAGAATTCACTGCGCAGATTCAACTCCACTGCACTGCCAGAACTAGAACTCGCTGTGTTTTTGGTACTTCAGGTTTGCAAGGGGGTTGGTCGGTGCGCACAGGTAATCACTGGATTTTTGGGCCGAGATAGAAATTGGGAGCAACTCTGGCCAAGATCCTGTAGCCTGACAGAATTCACCCATAGCAACAAGAACATGAGAAGACATTTGGTGGGTGTTTGAACAACTCCATTTTGTCCCGCCGACCCCAACACCGCCATGTTCGGTCGGATCGCGACGCAGTCTGCAGTCGGTGTTCGCTTGGCCACACCGGCAGTCGGCCGTCGCAGTGTTCCCCCGGCGTTTCCTTCCAGTGCAGTTGACGTGTTCGAATCTATATAGCCATCGCTACTAGGGGCCCGGAGGCCATTGCTATTAGGTTGGCCATCGCTACCCTAGATCCTGTCCTGAACCCATGGCGTGAAGAGTGACGAAGATATTCAAAGATTCAATATGTCCAAATGGCACGCCCAACACGGTACATATATAATCATACATACATTTATATACGACTGGAGAGAGAGAGAGAGAGAGAGAGAGAGTTATATTATAGTTTGGGGTTACTTGGCCATAAACATGCTGGCACCAAGCACCAATGGGACACCAAGACCCTGGGTAATCAACCGTCCTGGTAGAATTGAGTGTAGTCGTGATGGGGCTGAGAAAACGAGTCACGGTAGTGTGTGTGTCTTTGTTATTGGTGCAAGTACAGATCAAGTTCAGTGCAATTCAAGAAATGCTTATGCCTGGAAATGCATGCAGCCATGGCTTCTTCACTGCTCAGGTTTGCCTGGGCAATGAGGCACCTCCATGGGGGACTACCGAACCGCTCGTGACATTTGGTTTGGACCACCGAGAACAGCGGGTGCCCCGAACCGGTGGTTCTCCAAGGCCGAAGCGGACGCGGGCGGACACTGGTTTTGGGCACCGCGGCAGTCGACAGGGAAGGGTCCTGGTCCGACCGACACCGATGGGGTGATGGTCCGGTTTCAAGATCCGTTCAAAACTCCCAAAGTGAGCAAGGACGCCACCTAGGGGCTCCTGGCCATATTACTAGGAGCAAGAAGCTACTAGGAGCAAGGGCGTCGCTACGAACGGAGCGATCGGACGCTACGAAAAGGGCTCCTGTTCAAAAGTCCCAAAGTCCGCTTCACGTGTTCCCGGACCGTGTTTGGGGTCTCACTCCCAGCCCCTGCGTTTCTGAGCACTTTGGCGTGTGCAACAGCTCTGCGGTCAGTCGGACAAGCAGCTGGCCAATGCCTTGCGGAAGTGCGAGGTGCTGCACTTCAAGCCTGGAGTGATGTGCTCAGAACCGCTTCGCCCCCTTTAGGCCCGCTTCGCCCCCTCATAGGCCTCGAGGGGGATGACCTCGACGATCCCAGATGTTGGCCGCCTAGTTCCTGGACTGTAGCATATCAGGGATGAAGAGGCTACGAGTCACCCGCCTTCGTAAGTTTTCAGCGTCCGATGTTGCATGATGTTGCAGAATGTAGCAATGCTGTGCTGAAGTGCACAAGCTCTATCAATGAACTGTCTATAAGTTAATCAGTATGTTATTATATTTATATATATGTTATTGTAGTATATTATAACATGGCAAGAGGGCAACTGTTCCCTGTCCAGAGTTTGCCACAGCAACAACCTGACCCTTCCACAAAGCAAACATATACACATACACTGTCCAAAGGTCTGACTAACTGAGCTTCAGTCTGAGCACTCAGCCCAAAGGAAGGCCTTTGCCTCAACACGCAGTCCAACATCACATCTGAGATCGAGCAACTTGAAACCTCTGAAGCAGAGATGTTGATCAGACAAGCCTGGACTGTGATTCTGCCACTTGGACATTCTGTCATTCAGGACATTCTGGATTCCTAGCCTTCTACTTCAGCCTCCAAGGCAACGGTCTTCCAGAAGGATGATGAGTTGGCATCAGTCAAGCACTCAGTAAAGCACTCAACGGTCCCTCGGCGAATCGGATCTCCGATCAGCCGCGTTTCAGCCGCGCGCAGAATAACACGGCACCAGGGCCAACCCACAGCAGGGCCCTTTGAGAGCTCCTTTTTCCGGTGATATTCTGCAGATCATGGGATGTCTTCTCGTTTTTGGGAGGATCTGTTGATCACATCGACACTTTCTTATGACTCGGGTCCCAAGCCACTTGGATCAAAGCCATCCACTGGCTCGTTCGCCATTCATCCAGCCGGGAGTCGGAACCGACACGGAGCGAACCCGTGTCGCTCGTGTCGAGGTCTACATCGTGATCCATGGTGTGTTTGAGCCGTTCGACACCCGGTCACCGGGGGTCTCCCGGGCCTTGGTGCCGCTGGCAGGTCCTGGTCTTTGGATGTTCAGAGGTTATCTATGTCAACGAGGTCAAACAAGAAGGCGGTATAAACACTAACCCAGATTCAGAGATATTCAGAGATTGGCTGGTAAAGCAAGAATCAATAAGAACTTAGATCAAGCAACAAGCTCCGAGAGAGATCATCACAGCAGATAATTCTGTGGCTTTGCCGAAGGTGTTGCCATGTATTTCCTCACAGAAAATTGAACCAAGAGATTCAAGGTGATTTGGGGGACAGTTGCAGAAAGTTGGGCTTCCAAACTCTAGAGTCCTAGAGTGAAGAGTTTGCACCACTGCGGTTCGCATGTTTCGATCGTTTAGTCGACGCTTTTTCGTCGTCGACTCCGCCCTCCACGCTTGAAGCCATCCCGCGGGACCAAGGGACAGCTTCAAGCCGGCGCGAAAGACCGAAGGCGGCGGGTCCGTTTGGACGGTTGGAAAACCGAGAATGGACAAACGGGTTCGGAGAGGGTTCGGCACAATGGACCCACTAAAGGATGGTCAAAGAATGAGCCCCCATCTAAAAGACATATATAGGGGTTTGACTGGGTCTGTGCCATCTACTCTGACAACCACGGTATATGTAAATAGCATAAATAGCACATCATTAGCACGTCTTGTTAATGGTTCATACAACGTGCTCTAGATGCATGCGGGAATCATCTTGTTTTTCAATGCAGTCCTGAATCATCTCAGTGAGGAAACCTTGAACAGACTCAACTCTTAGGCCATCCAGTAATTTCAATCATGCGGAGTCCATGGTGCCCAAGTGCTGGTGTTTACACCTCAAAGTTCTCCTTTGTCACCCACCTCCCCCTGGATAGTCAGAATCCCATCACTTCCCGACGCGCGCCAGTCCGTGGGAATCTCGTGAACGCCACGGTGGTATCCTTTGGAGTCAGCGCCCGAGCCTGGGGCGAATGGATTTCCACACATTTCCACGCGAGGTACAGTGGCCATGTGGATCCATGTGGATCATTCGACGGTGTCGTTGGGTCGAATGATGCTAAGAAACGAGGTAGACGACAGGGTCCTGTCCAATCTACCAGTGTGAATTGAGTATGAAAGGCAAGCATCCACAGGAGGTGGTGGCCCAGTGGTGCAATTTTGCCACATGCACTCCACTAAGAACCGCTCAACAACCACGATGCTGTTGCAGCTGCTCTTGCAAGTGCCATGGATTCATGCATGTGTCAGACTTGGGAAAAGACTTGGTAGTAGTACATATCACGGCACATGCTCAAAAGACCAACAAGTAGGTTCTTAGGAAAAGGCGAGGCAACAAACAGCACGGCAAACTGCGGTTGCCTGACCTAAACTTCTGTGGATGTGGGGTCAACCACTGAGCGTGTGCTGGCTGAGATGGAATGGTCACAAAGCGAAGGACCAGCTTGGAGCTCAGCCCGCAACGTGTCGCGTTCGACTTGGTCGGCTTCGACTTCGTTCGCAACCGATGTGGACAGGGCCGTCGAAGAATGGTGGTGAAGGCTTTGAAGAATGGTAGTGAAGGGTTTGAACCTGGTTTCATCAGAGACGAGGACCTGAGTAGTTCTGGGTCCATGTTTCCAGATCTTTGAACCACATCCACGATCAAGAGACTTTTTCATGGGCCATGGTGTGAAAGACTTTTACCCGAATGGGACATGTGACGTGTGGGAGTCGAAGCAATTGTTTGATGGGCAGGGTGGACCTGAGTTCTTGGCAATGGAAAATGGTTTTTGCAAACCCAAGTACCCTGAACCGCTAAACAAAACATTCAATCATATCGTGAGCTTTGTGGTTCATAGCACGCAAACAGCATAAGTTCGGGCTGTGGCCCTACCATGCCGTTTGCCAAGAAGGACCTTCCAAAGTTGGTGGGTGATGAGACTCAGCATCACTCACGCAAAGTCGCCCGGGACGCAGCAACCAAGCATGGCGGCCTGGTCACCCCAAATGAGCGTGCTCAGTTTGGAGGTAAGGAGAACAAGAAGAAGGACATGTTTGGCACTTGACATGTTTGGCACAGTATTCCCCAAAGCTGGAAACAAACGCTGGCATTGAAGTACGGTCAGAGCTGATCAAATGATCACTATGTTATTTCCTTCCATAAGAGTTGGTACTTCGACCCCGCTTTCACCGTGTCAGTCCATTGTGCGAGATCGTGTTTGGCGTGAGGACCTGTAGCATGTTTTTTGTTTGCAGCCATAGGTGTGAAATGCTGGACAATTGATGACAACTTGACAAATGTGATCTTTGTCGTTCGTATATAATAGGTTTAATCGGTATTTGTCGCACACCGCACATCGTGCGTGTTTGTTTGTGAATCGTCTAGGATAAATATGGTGCCGGCCGTTCCTTGCGCCACGATGGTGATGGTGGCACACGCAGCGTGAAGAGACCTGCATGGTTGGAGGGAGATGTCGCTGTGAAGGAGGGCATGGCCACAAGGTTTAAAAAGGAAAGAAGGAAAGAATGACAGAAAAGACAAAAAAGACTAAAGGTCTAAAAGGAAAGGAAGAAAGCCAAAAGAAGACTTTACTTATATATTCTATAGTTACTGTACCTTGTCTACCAGATGTGTTTCCCTTTGTTCATCAAACAATGAGGTCTATAAGGTTTTTATTCCTCAACATTTGAACATCGGTGAAGAATGAGACTCGGTCAAGGTCGAGTCTTTTGTCTTTTCCAGTCCAGTCGACTGGTGGAAGGCTTCCCCAGCATTTTTGTAGAGGAATATGCTCATATAATATGAGTTCAGTTTTCCACAAAATCTAGAAACCACATGAATAGTGCGTGAGCTATCCTGGTAGCTTATTTGTAGGTACTAGCTACCTAGCTACCCAGCTACTACTAGCTACCTACCTGGCTAACTTGCCTATATATATATGCATAGACATGTATATTATATATATATAACACCGCCTAAAATAACAAACATCACTGGACCAATCTTCTTCATTTCAACATGTCTATCAAGCCCACCCACAGGCTTCGAGCTCACCAAACGAGGGACAGCTGCGATGGCTGTGATGGAGTAGTTTGGTGATGTGTACTTGGTGGCTCCATGTGGCTCCTAAGTTACTAAGTAGGCCTTCCTGTGTGAGACACTCCACCAGCAACACCCGACCAGCTTCCCCGTTGGAGACTCTGTGAGGAGTTGGACCTTCACAGGTTCGACAGTGCCTCGGATGCGTTCAAGGAAATTGGGAGCAGAATCAACAAGTTGGGCGAGGAGATGCTCGGTCTTCAACAGCAACTCTTTTCCTTTTCGAACGGTTCCAGGAATGGGAAAGAGAGGCCTTTTTTTACAGCGTGAGATGTTTCACTGTGCCCTCAACTTTATTAATTTTGAGCTTGTTCATTTGCGTTGATTGGGGGAAGTCAGCTTGAGCTTTGAGCTTGTGCATTCACGCTGTGAGGACGGCGCTGGAGATTGTTTGTGGTGCCGGAACTCATACAGAGGTTAACAAGCATGGACGCAATGTGAAGGAGACTGGCGATTGGAAGAATAAAGCCCAACCGCTTTTCTTTCAAGTTAAAGAGATGGTCAAGAAGAGTAGCGCCTTGAAATGTTGGATTCCGGCTGAACACAAACAATCCTCTATTTACGTTCGGCTTGCTTCAGCCAGTGCAGCGGATCTGTTGAAAGAGGAGCTCGCGAAGCTGACGTTGCAGGAGCAAGGGAAAAAGAATAGTGCTTGGACATACTCAGAGGCACACCCACTGAGTCCTGGAGTGTTTCTATTCGTCAGCTCAGAGTTGCAGAGTTGGGTTTGGGCTGAAACACCCTTTTCATTAAGTACCCAGCTAGTTAGCTCTGCATGGCACGGTATGGAACCATCAGAGAGCTATCACGGCAGCACGGTAGGACGGTAGGAGGTGGTGACCACCGGGCGTCGCAGGAGGAGAAGCGCGAGCGACAGATTCCATTTGAGAGCGAGGAGGAGACTGGCGACGAGGATGAGGTTCAGTATGACTCTTTCGGCAACACCATTTCGCCATGAGGGAACCACACGTGCTGTGCGCGGAGTGAATCCTTGTGATTGGTCCTAAGTGAGCGGCGTAGCTGACTACTCGAAGTGTTAGCCCTCAGAGGGGAAGCTGATACTCTGTAGTTTGCTTGGCAGCTTGCCAACTGCGTATGGCCCACAGTGAATCACAAGCGTTCACTTCAATCCATTGTTTTATTTTTGAAGACAGAAACATGTTGTTGATGGACCGGCATCATATGGAGTTCCTATGGTTCGCTTGCGGTGAAGGATTCTGTTCACAGTCTTGCAGTGAGCGTTTTTGCGTAGTTCGAACATGTTTGCCACTCCAACCTTTAGTATCTAGGTGGGTGCGCGGTATGTGTAATCATATGATTGTAATGTGTGTAGTTCAGAATGTGAGGAATTTGTTGGCATGGATAAAGCCATTTTCGAGTCCAATCGCAACCCGGACATGTTGACCATGCCGAGCGGACTTGGCCTTTGAGGTGAGTGCTCCATACACACTCAGGGCCGGGAGCCTTTTTACTGGATTGAAGAGCGCTGCGGCGAGGTATCACTGCACCGGTTTCTCCATGATTCCTTTGAGGTTCTACGATTTGGCAGAGAGAGAGAGCACGTTTTCATGGGCAAAGATGTCCAAATGGTTGAACTTAGTGAAGCCAAACATGTTTTTCTGGGTCAAGATGTTTGGATCTGTAGACGGGACCCGTGCCCCAAAACGGGTTGTGGAACATCTTGGCAAGGCAAAACTAGAGGAGTTTGGTGATCACAAAGGACCCTGGGAAATATCTACTTTCATTAGTCCGTTGCAGAAAGAAGCCTTTTGATTCATGGTGCTGACGGCCTCGAGAGAGAGAGAGAGAGCCAATCCTAGACAAAAATTACTATGTCGATTTCATTGTGAAAAGGACCATTCTTCCTGCTGGTCAAGTTTTGGCACGCCCTAGGCAGAAAGCGCGGGTGCTCTCCTGTCAGCCTGGCGCCCAGGACGAGCCACACAGTAAAAAAGAGAGGAAAGGATTCGGGGAAAACATTGTGATGATTTTGTTTACATGTGAAAAGATGCTAGTGCAGATGTGCTTTCCCCGCAGAAATTGGCCAAGCTTGATTCACCTGCCAATTTTGAGACGTCGCGACCAGCTTTGATTCTCTGATTGGGAGCTGGCTCTTTGTGGCGTGGTGTCAGAGCAGAGGTATAGTGGTGGCGCCGCAGTGGTGTGGTTTCGTTTGCAGAGTTGATCGCTTCATGGTCCGACCTAGACGCTTCTTAAATATGAATAGCAAGGGCAGAACTATGTCTAAGGGGGTACAAAAGAGGATGAGTTCACGCATGTACTGCCATCAACCCATGCAGATGCCAAGGTTCCATTACAAGTGGTGAATCCAATGTAGAAAGGCATGGGTTTCACGTGTCCAAAGGTCGACATGCACGTTTGCAAAATGCACATGTGCGTTTGGCCATAGTCCACTCAATAGGTTTATTCAGTTCTCATCATGTAACTTCTTTGTTACTTGTCGTCATTGCTTTGGCCATATCCAATCTACTCAAATAATGAGTAAAAAGAGTGAAGGCACATTTTAAAGTAGATATCAATTCAAACATGTTCATTGAAATATATAAATTGAAAAAACTACTTTTCTGCGTTGATTTAGATTAAAACCAAGTAATTCAAACCCAAGCAATTTACTGTTGCCTCTAAGGGAAAAAGTGCTGGCCACGATAGCCGTGCCATTTGCCCTTTCTTCACTGCCTTGTATGGGCCTTGTCCAGGCCTTGTCCGGGTTCTCCGCCTTGACCGACCGGGTCTCATCTAGGCTTGTCCAGGTCTCCATGCTTGGCCGCACCGTGGGCCCCGTCTTCTCCGCGGCGTTTGGATACAGGATCAAAAAAGTGGTCCCCTGGTCCTTTGTCCCCTGGTTTGTCGGTTTCTATGTTGATTTATTGGATGGTAAATGAAAAGGACTATATAATATGATATTAAAGAAGTTTTCTTGCAAACTGCATTTTGTATATAGTATTGTGTTTTTTATTTGAATAATGTTTGATTTATATGTTTATTTTATCTTTTATAGTGTTTAAATATTAAATAGATATTTATTTGTTAATAATTACGAAAGGTAGCTTGGTAAGGGTTATTTTGAATTTGCTTTGCGAAACAAAGGGCTTGGTTTGAAAGCTTATTCGGGACTAAAGATTGGTAGATTAATGTCTAATATCCTTATCTCCCCCCCTCCTATGTAATGCATGATTGATAAATCAATTGATTCGATCCTTTTTTCTTCCCCTCCCCTTTTCGTCCCCTCCCTTCGTCGTTAGAACTATTAAATTCTGGATATAAGGTGAAATTATGTGCTTAATAGCAATACGACGCAGGCCATGAGGTTGCGTAATATAACACGAACCTTGCGCAATGAAATCGTATAATGCAACTTCGATGTCGCGCGTGCGTATCCGGCAGCCTGACACAACACGTATTGCGTTGCTAGACCATAGTGCTCGACACTAACGAGCATCGATGCAACACAACCTCTCTGCAAAGCCTTGTGGAAAAACCCTTCGCGTCGCGGAATAGCATTCGACTCTGCCTTATACCCTAGCGTGGCGAAATCTTACCGCATCGTGGGTGTAACGTCCATTCCTGGCAATACCGACCGCACCCCTCCAACACTATCTTTACAAGGGGGTTGGTCATTGAGTTATTGCGGCTTCGACGCAACGCGTGCAGGCCTGTAATCTTGACACAGTGCGTGCAGCTGTGGGATTATGGCTGGTATACATGCGAGCGTTTACGCATTGCGATTTTTACGCACGCCTGTTTTCACACACTTAGACACAAACGAGCGTCGACACAACGTAGCCTTTCTACAGAGCCGTGTGGCGCAATTTGACCGCAACGGAGTTCTTCTTGAGCCTTCTTATGCCTTCTTGTATTATCTGGCTTTGTTGGTTTTATCCATGATTGACCAAGGGGCACGTTCCTGAAACACCGGAAACAGTCCTTCACTAGAAAAGGTCCCGACAGTTACTCGGTCCGTCTCTACCTTTCGTGTTTCCCCGCTCAAGTTGATATTTTTTATGTATTGAGAATTTATGTTATGTTGGATATTTTGTTGTTGGGAGGTTAGGATATTTTATATATTTTTGGTTTTATATTTTATATTGAATATATTTTTTATAAACACAAAAATTAATTGACTTAATTTTTTTAAATTTGGAATGGAATGAATTTATAATTATGTTTGTTCGCCTTTGCTTTCGACAGGAGGATTAATTGAATGAATTGATAATGGATAGGATTTTTATAATATTCTTATAATATGGATAGGATAATTTGATGTTATTTTTTTTAGAGGTCTTTAAGGATTGGTATATGTAGAAATAAGGAGATGGTGTTTAGTAACCCTTGAGAGCTTTTGAAGGAGGAGGTTTTATTTCGCATTTTGAAGGAGGAGGTTTTGAAACGAATTATTCTTCTTAAATTCGATGCATTAGAAGACGTTTTGATTAAGGGATTGAGGATACGTAAAATTTTTGGATGGAATTGGAATTTTAAGTGTATTAAGCCTACTAAATAGAATTTTTTGAACTTTATATATAGTTGTACGAAATGCTTTAACGGATGATTTAATTATTCATTTAAATTTACTTTATTTATACATTTGCGGATATGAAATTAATGCCTAAAGAATTTCCGGACGATTAATAGATTTATATGTTATGGCGTTTGGATGTTTCTGTTAGGATACCCGAAAGCTCGGAATTTTCCAATTTGGTTATGCGGCAACGGATTGACCTAGTTGGTGGGTATGCGTCACCGGCCCACCGGCCTATAGAGGAACCCATGGGCAAACGCCATAGTTCAGAAGTTGCGGAAATGATTCGAACCTTGGTAAATTAGGTCTGGGCCAACCCTGGGAATCATTGTTACATTGTTAGCGTGCTTCGCGCTCAGTTGGGGGCCTGCCTAATGTGGGATGGATTTTCAATATCCATGTGGGGAACATGGACCCAGCATTTGATCTCAATGCTGCAGGTCTGGGGGATACAATCACTGACCTTGACAGATCATGTTGTTTTGGGAGAACAGATCTTGCCATGGTGGCAAACCCAGGATGTATCCAACCAGCGTCTTCCACCGATTGTTGTTGTCCAAGATGGATAATGCGTTCCAATAGTCCTCGAATCTCGTCGGAGGCCAACAGTGGTGTCTTCTTGTTGGCTTTCAGCATCTGGGCCTGAACATCCCATATAAACTATGTCTATTTGTTGTCCTCGGCCAGGATGCCTTTGGAACGAAGATTCTGTATCAAGGCATCGTCTTTCGCCTCCAGTTGTAATTTTCTTGCCCTCTGAGCCAACTTTTGAAAGCAACGGAGGAACATGGTGATCCGAAGGGATATGGAGACGTCGCCACTTTGCTTGTGGTTACTCCACTCCCAGGTTTTGGCAAACATATTCGGCATGATATTGTCTCGACCGCATTGCAGAACCAATACATCTGATTGCCGGAATGAAAGCTGGGCCAACATCCTCAACAAATCCTTGTCTCTGTCTCCATTCGGCGTCAAGGCCGAGGATGCAGAGGATCTATGTGTTGGTCCCCGGCCATTCCTGGGGATTCCATTGGATGCGGTCCCACGTGGTCTCTTGCCTGGAATCCTACATCAAATACGAATCTAAGTAATGAATGGGCGAACTTAGATATCCAAATATAAATATGTATCGATGCATTTAATACAAGATGTTTGAATTACGAATCCATCAAATTCGATAAAAATATTCCATCGAACCTCAATTTACCATATATATATATAATGTTTATTTAAATTAATATATTAGATATAATATCTATCTATTTGTTTGAATATTAATAAATATGTTTATATATATTTTTATTTATCCATAATTCTTTAAATCAAATATATTTTCTTGAAATTTTAATTGCATAATATATTCATATTTTTAATATATCAATTAATACATATTATACAATCTATATATTTATTATTCATATATTTTCATTTCATATCCGATCATAATATAGAAATTTTAGAGCCTCGAATAACGATATATTTAAATATAACAATAGAAAGAATATCAATTAATGATTACGCCCATGCATCGATAGATCATCGATACGAAAATATTTCTTCAAAATTAAGCCAATCGATATAATTATCTTATTTCATCTCTTCATAAACACGATTTCTAAAAATAAATAATCATCTAATATTTCCATTCATCAAAAACCAACCTTAGTAATAGATAATATCTAAAATAAATTCCAAAAATATAATCATATCAAATTCTATATATTAAATTCATTTCATGTCATGAACGGCAGAAGTGCTTCTGCCCGTTTTGGGCTGCAATTGTCGTGACAGTCGAATATTTCGAGAACGTCGAGGCCCACATCCGCGGAAGCGAAAATTGAAATCTAGCGAGCTTTGTCAAAAGCAGCACCGAGCAGGTCATTCAAATCTGGCGTCTATTCCATCGTTGTCGTTCGACAAATGGGCATTGTCTATCTTGGATGCTGCAAAACCGTGGTTGGCGTAAGCCAAAGGAGATAGCATTCATTGGCAAACATCTCATACATGGGTGTCTGATATGGAGGTTGGTCATCACCAACAAGAAGCACACCAAGGGAGGTGTACAAAGCACTCACATAGTGCCCACACGTACACGTGGGCACCTCACCTTTGTGAAGCACTGAAACGGGGACACGATAGCTATGCCAGGTGACATCAAAGCAATGCGCCGCGTCGAAGATGGGTGTATAAAGCTTCCATAGATCGGCTCATAAAATTTGAAATCAAGATTGCGAAATCGATTCATCTGGATGTAAATCATGTCATTGGCTTGGACAAATGCACAAACAAAAGGAATCTTCAGGTGCCAATCATCAATCAAATCTTGCAGACTGGACTTTTGGCTGCAACTCAAAAGTATCGGTGCTAAAACCTTTCCTTGGTCCTCAACCGAATGCATCAGGCGCTTTTGCCAGCCGGCTTGGAGACTGCCGATCTGGAGCTGGTCGAAAAATTGGCCAATTCTGCAGCCTTACGTCCAATGAACCAGGAGAATCTGTCCCAGGATGCGATGGTGGTCATCCCATGGAGATTGGATTTGAGTCTCCGGACTCCAGAAGCCTCAGAGTTTCACCAACTCCTGTTGAAGTTGTCCAGTAATGGCATCCCATAATTACGCTCCTGAGGATCCGGCTAGCGATTCTGCAGCGATCGCCTCTCGCCAATGCTATCTCCCAACAATTGAGGAGGTAACGACGTCAATCATGACAGCACGGCTGGCCAATATTGAGCCGACCTATTATATTAATAGTGGGCTTCTTGCCCAGGTTTAGACTTGCACCATGAATTCGATTTTCAACACTGCCTTTTGGGGTCCATGAAAAACCGCAATTGTTGAGCATGTTGTGAGCCATGCCGGGGAATTTGTGAATCCATGGGATGGTTGTTTCTTAGGCAATCTACTTGCTGATTGGGTCGACACACATTCGTTTCAAGATCAACATGACGCCGGTGAATTTGCTGGTTGATTTAGATAGAAGTTGATGGAAAAGACCTTGCCGCAATATATGCAAGAAGGATGGAGCGCACGACTCACGCATTCCATCGAAGATAAGGCTACTATTTTTGCGCCAGTCCCTTTGGCCTGTGCAGCAAAGGGTTCCATAATATTGCAACAACTCATCGTAGATTGGCACCAACAAGAATCTTTTGTTCATGTCTTTATACGTGATTCACCATGGATTTGCCTCCAGATCTCTCGCTTTTGCACCATTGGCACCAAAAGCCATTGCTCGATCGACTGGGATCGACGTGTCTGCCCCCCCCTTCGTGTGCCAGTGTTTCGCGCCAACCAAGGCCTTCAGGTGGAGTGACATGATTTCGTCGTGATAATTGATATAATTCATAAGGGAGATGCTCCGATTCGAGGGCACTACCTTAGAGTGTAACGATTATCGATCGACCTTGCCTGTTGGCTATGACCTTGAGGTAGCTAGATCTATTTATCTCCTTTGGATCGTGCCATGCCCGCCTGCCGAATCCCACTTGGCGCCGACCGCTTAGGCAACCACAGAAGAATTTTAATAAATTGTTTGGAGATCGATTTCACTTCGCGCCGACCGCTTAGGCAACCTTGATTCACGAGATTGAAATTTCGATACACTCGATATATCCGATAGGATACCACTCCTCCGCGGCCCAAAACACGGGCAGCCTAAAGCCGCTGCTAGAAGATGAAATTAGCAACACTTTTATTAATAAATAGAATCCAATATATTAATTATGAATACTTGAAATAAATATTTATAATCGACATATTTTCTAGAAAAATATTTAATTATTATATATTAAGCAATATATATATTAATTATTAAATACATATATTCAATATTATTGATATATTATAATAATCGAAATATATCGTAATATATATATTTTATATAATATATATATAATATTAATTAAATATATAATAATTAATAAATAATATAAAATCAATATATTTAATTTATAACTAATAAATATATATAATAATGGCTATTTATTATATATATTCCTTATGAAATTTTAATATATATTATTTATTTCAATTATAGATATTATATCACATTTCAGATTGAAAATCAATAACGAAGATTACTAAATTAGAAATGAAATTATAAATATCAAAATATTATCGCCATAATTTATAAGATATTTATATTGTCAAATATTATATCAATATTTAAATATAAATTATTTTCAATTTTTTATTTCCAATGATTTAATACGACCCAATTATCAAATAAAAATAAATATCTATAAATCTAAAAATAAAGAAATACGAAAATGATAAGATAAGAAAATAATCATTTATTAATTATATCAATAATTAATGTATATTCCCATCCCATACGTTCGCATCTTCACCTCTTAGATTCAAACAAACGTCCATATAAGACGGAAATCATATCCATCCTTCGCAATATCCTTAAATTCCGCTCTTAACCTAACGAGACATTCACATCTAATAGAATTCAATTTTTCGTTATATTTCTGGTCCATATAGAGATTTATTCAAAGGGGGATCTAAAATCCTAAAAGGTTCCAATTACCCCTTGGATTTAAAGAATCTATAATCATCCTTCGTCATTTTATAATCGCATCATATCGTCTCTTTCAAACCTCCAACACGATTAAACGGACCATCCACATCACTTCAAATTACACGATTCCAATTTCGATGTTTATATCCAAATCACCGATAAGTGCGCGGAACCCATAAGTAATAATTCATTAACAAACGAACAAAATATCAATATCCTTTAATATAATATAATATTAATAAAATCGAATCAATAAAAATCTATTATTATATATATTAATCCTCAATTTAAAAATATCAAAAATATATATAGTAAAAATAGATCAATATTTCTTCATAATATATCCTTCCGATTTATAATCCATTAATAATTAAAACAATTCATTTCAACAAAAAAACACAAAAAATCAACGAAACAAATATATAATAAAAGAAAATTCGTTCAATATTATCGAAATATATAATATATTTATTTATAAATCGATTAATTTCACTATTATGTGTATTAAATAATATTTTGTATTAATTTATTTTATATATTATATTTTAGAATTTTGGAATTTAATCTGTCTTGAATAATTTTCAATAATTCTCGGGCCTATTGAATGAATCAATGTCGAACATATCCGAAAATGATTAAGAATAAGTTATTTTGCAGAAGCAAATCCTGCGTGCACACAATCGATTTTAAATAAATTTGATGGCATACCTCGGTGTATATTTAAGGTGAAGGACTCCAAAGTTGATGATCTTTTCATCTTGATCCTTCCGTTCCCGCCTGCACAGCAAACACGCCCGGCCCATAGCGCTTCTGCGTGTCCAAATCCATTGCGCGGCGGTACCAACGACTGGCCTTGCGCAATGGTGTCACATGTATTGAAGAAAACGGTTTGTTTGGCAAATCAAAACAAACTATAGTACGTAATGCGCCACTGGGACCAAGTCGTGTTTCTTCTTGAAGGTTCCAAGCCGTGAGGGGCCCCTTTCCCGAATCCACATCAAGACGCTGATGTCGCCTCACACAGTCAAATGGTTCCTCCCTCCAAAGTTGTTTATTTAAAATGCGAAACAGACTTCTAAAGTTCGATCGCGGCTGATCCAAATGTTAGAAGACCCGGTAAGTTCGAACTTTCTTCCTCCTGAAGTGATGAAGATGTTAGTACAATACAGTGATGTCTAAGTGCTTTGTGCAAGATTCGTGCATTTCATATTTACAGTATAAACAACAAACATTGGCTCTATTGGGAGCAAGAATAACTACTTGTCGTTGGTTGCAACCTGATGTCTTCAACATACATCCAGAAAGCACTGCACAGTCCTTTGCCAGTGTATCTCACAATGGGGAGAACCTTGCCCAAAAGCCCTGCAGGGCTTGAAAAACACTCATCAAGAACGTGCATTGTGGCAAAAAGCTGTTTAAGTCGATCACTATTGAATTGTAGGGTGTGTTTGGCAATCACGAGACGTTCGCAAATACATTTGGCATCTTCTGGATCTTCTGGACGTTCAAACCGAACCCCAAACTTCCAGGTTCAAACACTTCTACCGGCTTCTACCAGAAAGTTCAGAGGTAGAAAGACTAATCTACACTTCCCACTTTTGAATTGAAACACCTTTTCATATCGGATGGTCTATCAATCAAGAGTCTACAGGACATTACAGTTGCCTTTGACGTTGCCCATCGTCCCACCTCTGCCAGGCTTTGTCGGGTCATTCGACCTGGGACGAACGCACCGGACCCGGAGTTGTTTGCCACGAACGAAAGCATGAGATGTTCACCCGAACCGAAAGGTGAAAGGTTCGGCCTGAGTCTGACTCACGTGTTTTTTCGAAACTGGATCTGGCAAGTGGCCAGTGCAAAGCCCGAAGTGGGTGAGGTAGCCAAATTCCAAACAGGCCAATGCATCACCGGCTTCGGCCAAGGGCGACAGCCATTTCAGCGCCTGCGGGCTGGTGATCGGAGAAGTTTTCCAGATCAATCAGAACGGAAGGAGACAGTAAGAGTAAAAAATTACGATCTTTCGACGTTCCATTTGGAACATTGAAAGCCCAAACCACCAACTTCAAATATTTCTACTTTTCTACCAGAAAGTTCAGAGGTAGAAAGATTATGAAAGATTGCAATATGTTGGCCTTCTAGGATCAAAATACATCAAAGTTTATTATCCTAATGGGCTCAATGTCAACCAGCTTTAGGCGAGATCCGACACCATATCACCGGGCTGATACGTGTTTCCAGGGGACCCTCGCTCAATACATCGAGTTTCCTGGTTAAATTCTTGAAAGGGAATGCAAACAGTGACCACTTTGGGATGGCCTTCCCCCTCCCGCGCCCTCTCTCCAACCCTAGTGCCAGTGTGTCTGACCACAACCTCAATGATGACACAAGGATATTTATTCTAAACATATATATATATATATCAATCACGTTCTCTCGTGAGCTTTGAACAAAGCTCACAGGACATTCG